GGTCACTAGACCCCATCAAGGGCAAGTTGATAGTTTGTCTAAAGATTCCTGATATTGGGTGACTTGATTTTTTGGGGTTGCCAAATGGTGATTTGTGGATGAAATGTTGGTGGTTGTTGGTCACTATCATATGCTATATAAATGCTAGCTGTGAAATGCAAGTTTCTTAGCCGTGTGGGTCATATAGCTTTATTAAGATTGAAAATAAATCTTAACATGACTATCAATAAACACTATATAATGTATGTGTGAAGTCTTTAACAAGTTCATTTCATAAACGAGTTGACTTGCTAAATTAGCATGACAAATGGGTCAATTATAACCCAATTAAACACAACTAAATTTTATGCACGACTATAAATAAATCTGTTATGAACTAAATAAATTTCGACACAATACTAAATACAAAATTCAAAAATGCACACTAACATGATTCATTAACAGCTAAAATTAAAATCAAGGAACATTCATCGTTGGTCCTGGTACTTATAGTACAATTTTAGTTTATAATTCATTGCTACCCTAAAATAGATTTCAGATGACTATGAAATTGTTAAATGTGATGGATATAAAGTCTAATTTGTAAGGAAAAAAAAAGAAGAAAGAAGGATCTATGAATTGCTATGCAATCTAATAAAATGGTTTGGTAATCTGCAAAATTCTATGTTATGTCTTACGAGAATATAAAATTTAAAATCAAAATTAAGCAACAACAATAATATCTCACTCAACTTTGGCAACTTCCTTCTAATGATATTTCACAATTTTCATGTTTCAGGAAAACAAAAAAAATCATTTTTCAGTATGCTTAAAGGTCCCAGTTGCCCTCTTACAAGTATATAGTTAAAGTAATACAAAAGTCAGGAGTGTATCGTATTTCACAATTTGCATGTTTCAAGAAAAAAAAAATCATTTTTCAGTGTGCTTAAAGGTCCCAGTTGCCCTCTTACAAGTGTATAGTCAAAGTAATACAAAAGTCAGGAGTGTATTGTATTTTGAAGGAAATGTTTGGTATGTGGGTTTGGATAGAATTAAAGGGTTGAATTTTATGAAAATAGTCCAATACGCCTTCTAAACCTATGTTTGGGTGAAGATTTGAGACTCGCAATTCATAGGATGAATGAATCTTTCCTGACCCGTAGTGAATAATTGATTAAAACCCACAAATGGAGCCATTGGGTTTTAATGAAACGCATGAGAGTTGGGTTTCAAAAACAAAAGATTGAATTTCAAGACAAAAAACTACTTTACCCAAAAATTTATTATTCTATTCCCATAATAATGAACATTTTAGTAAATTGAGTAAAACAATTTGATATAAATTCCTAAATCCAATAAATATATTTATATCATCTACCAAACATTGAATCCCATATGCAAATCCTTGGAACATCCAAACATGTGACCGAATCATTTGTTAATTGAATTCGGTCTGGGCTTCGAAATATAATCAAATTCGAGTTATTGTGCAATTTTATTTTTTTTATCAAAGTTTATTGTGCAATTTTATTTGCTGAAATGTCCATCATTGTACAGTCGATGTGAGCTTTGTTTCCTTTGAACCTCAGAATACTTTCCAATATCAAGGACACTCATTTGTGTTGATAAAGTTCATATGTATTAAGGTCTCTTCGGACCCTCAAACGAATATATAGTAGGGTTACACAAAAACTATACTATAGAAATAAGTTTCAGAAAGTGTTGAATCAGCCCAGAATTTGAATATCAAGGGCTTAATCCAATTAAGAAATCCAATTAGTCTGTCAACCATATAATTTCTACAGATGGTACAAGGAAAACAGAGGAGGAGGGAGGGAATCTTGGCAAATGAGGTTCTTATGTCACTTTTTTTTTCTTTCTAGGAGGGTTTTCTTTGAAATGCCCTCCTCCTTTCACTTGCTTCTAATTCTTTGGGACTGGATGTGTGAGCTGAAAAGACAGAAAAGTAATTATGATTCATGGCAAGTGCTCTCTCTCTCTCTCTTGCTCTGCCCTTATATATATGCATACATATATATATGAGTGTGCATACCGGTATATATAAATATGTGTGTGCATGTATAAGTTCAGATTATTGCTAAATATTTCCATTCTTGTTTTTTCTGGTTAAAACCAGAACCAGATTTCATGGGATTTCTCTTTTATTTGATTTACAACTGAATCATTGTAATTTTATTTAAATACCTCACTTGTATTGCCTAACTGTTCACGTTGCCATTGTAAACTCAATCAACTTAGTTTTTCTTCAGCAGATGAGGTTCTTATGTCACTTTTTTTTATAGGAGGGTTTTCTTTGAAATGCCCTCCTTTCACTTGCTTCTAATCCTTTGGGACTGGATGTGTAAACCGATAAGACAGAAAAGTAATTATGATTCATGGCAAGTGATCTCTCTCTCTCTGGCTCTGCCCTTATCTATGCATAAAGATATATGAGTGTGCATACCGATATATATAAATATGTGTGTATGTATAAGTTCGGATTATTGCTAAATATTTCTATTCTTGTTTTTGTTAGTTAAATCTTTACTACAAAGAGGAAAGAGTGCGATTTCTCAGATTGGTGATACCGGTGGTGGGCGGAGGCAGCGAGCCACCTGATTTTCGGCCGCGTTTGATTTTCAGATGTGTGTGTGGGCGCGCGTTTGGTGGTGGACGGAAGGAAGAAGAAGCAAATGGGTAATTGGGCATGGGATTTGTTATTGGGTCTTCTGTAGTGGGTGAGTTATTTTCAAGGGTTATTATTCACATTCTAAACCAATGAATCTGTTGATATTACAAAACTCCATTGCAATTTCAGGTTTGTCAAGTCAGGGAAATTCAATCCCAAAGTATGGGGGTTTAGTGTTGTTCTAGAAACAATAATATTATTAGTTGGATATGCTTTGTTGATACAATTTATCGTCCTGGATTGATAGATAAACAATAAGGGATGTCAATATATTTATCCTTACATGTAAGGACCATTAACAACCATAAAGGTCTTTCCAAAAACAGAGATGAGTTGGAGGGGTAAAGTGTTATTTTGAAAATATTAAGGTATCTCTTAAAATATTGATCATCATATAACAACCATGATACAATTCCATAACCTCTATAGATGGGAAATCATTTTAGTTTATTAGATTTCAATTAAGCAAGCTTGCACAAATGTTAAAACTCAAATGTCATGTGGCCATGAAGAGGCATTTCAAAATATAAAATGAAGTGACTAGATTTATGTTTACCATAGCAAAACAAGGGAAATTTTGCTCACAATCTCTCAGTCTGATAAGGATTGTTGACTTGATTTATTTTATGGATGCACTCATTGCTACCTGCATTACCTCAATCTTCAATATCCGCACTGAGAGAATCTACGGAGTTACCTGACAACAATGGTAACTCTACATCATCTTTGTTCATTTCATGATTCTCAGTTGGGATCTCTTGTGGAGTTAGAAAAGGCTTTGGAGGCATTTTCAGGAGTGCAACATCTCCTTCCAGCATCTCCACCACTCTGTGCATAGAAGGACGATCAATAGGCTTCAGTTGTATGCACCAGAACGCTACTATGATCATCTTCTTAACCATCTTCTTTTCCTCCTCAGTGGTAGCTCCCAAATCAATGTCCTCTCCTTCGCTGTATTGATCATAAACCCATGAGGGGAAGTAAATTTGGCTTGGGCGATCAGCAATTGCATTCAAATTCTTCCTTCTGCCCGCCATTTCCATCAACAACATTCCAAAACTATACACATCAGCTTTGTATGAGACACCTCCTATTTTTTTGTAGAACAATTCTGGAGCCATGTAACCCATTGTGCCTCTTGCTGCAGTCAAAAGCACAGTGCTCTCATCTGTTGAATATAGCTTTGCAAGCCCGAAGTCAGAAACTTTAGGAATGAAATTCTCATCAAGAAGAATGTTGTGGGGCTTGATGTCGAAATGTAAGATTTGCATGTTACAACCTCGATGTAAATATTCAATCCCATGAGCCACTCCGAGAGAAATCTCGTACATTTTTTCACAACTCAAGGAGACAGTTTTCTCTTCTCGTGGGAAAATATATTTATCAAGAGACCCATTAAGCATGAAGTCATATATAAGAGCACGCTTTGAACCCTCTGCGCAAAAGCCAATGAGTCTCACCACATTAAAATGGTGAATCCTTCCAATGGTAGCAACCTCACTGATAAATTCTTGCCCAGTAGCTTTGGATTTGCCTATCTTCTTCACCGCAACAAGGGAGCCACTTCGAAGCTTTCCTTTAAAGACAGTACCAAAGCCTCCTTCGCCCAATTTTTCATTGAAACCATTAGTCATCTTCCTAATCTCTGAGTAACTATACCTTATGGGCATCAGGTTGTTGTGTCTTTGTAGGAAGTCTTCAATGTTGTCAGAGATTGATAGGTGCCGCCTTCTCCATTTATATACCACTAATGCAAGAAGAAACGAAATCCCACAAAAAGACCTTGCTGCAATAAACCATCCTGTGCATATTTTAATAGAAAAAATTAATGTGAATTCGGGAATTTGAAAAAGAGAGATACTTATGGATTCCTTTTTCTTTTTTTGTGGTGGGGGCAAGAAAAATGCTTGTTTTACTGAATAGTTTAAACTGCGATTGCAAGTCAGACTTATCAAAAACATGTCAATTTGAGTCACATAACATTGTCCTTCAAGCATAGGGCGATTTGAAAATCCGAAATTTAAGTACATGCCAAAATTACGTTGAGGGTATTAACTTACCGATTGGCTTGTATGCTCTATTTAAAATATCTGTCAGAAATTGCAAAAGAGAGCAACACCAGAGATAAGATGTTAAAAAAGTTACAGGAAGAGGCTTATAAATACAAAGGAAAAGGAGAAAAGAATAGAGAATACTCACAATGCAACCGTTGAGTCAAGCCTACATATTCCGAGCATAAACAATGTTAGCAACCCAAAGTGGAAATTTTTAAAATTGAAAATAGAAAAACTCTTCGTACTATGTTACTTAAGAGATTTTTAGTAAGATCGTTGTGGTCACAAGATAGATCTGACATGTTTTGTACGTTGATAATCTTATTTAGTTGAAATTACTATCAAGAGAATTTTGTAACACCACAGTCTTTTGATTTCTCATTCGCAAACCGAAATGATATTATAATTTACTGGCATGACTTTTTAGAAATACCATATATTATGACTTTGATTATGATTTTCCTATTTTCTGTTGTGATCCTATGATATCATTTGATCCACCAATAGAAGTATGGTTCAACTTAGCACAGTTCTTATCTTTCATGCATAATGCAAAAATCTAATGTGCCTTTACCTTTATCTAATTTTTTTGGTAATTGTGTTTTCCTACTTTATTCGTAAGACTTGCTTGAGAATGTTCAGGTCTATAGCCTCCACTTATTTTATTTTTTTGGACCAAGGCATTCACATATTAACATACAAAAAATTCACATAGTAATTCAAGCACACTGACTAAGAGAGAGACCCACCAACCAATTCCTCTTTAAAAGAGGAATTGGGAGTAGGTCACTTATACTTCAGTCTTTGGTTATAGCCTCGACTTATTACAACCTAGCTATACCCATTAAATCAAAGTTTTCGGGACATAGTATGTATCAAAGTTTTTCTATCTTGCTGAGAATTTTATAATTTATAATTGAAACCAGGAAAAAAAGGGGGTAAAAAAAGATGCTCAAAAGAGCCCCTTTTAGGAATCCAGTCCAAACACTTCTCTTTCCTCCACCTAATAACTACGATCTAAACATATCAAACCTAGCTTACTTATTATCATGTTCCCACAAAAAAGAAAAAAAAAAGGAAAAATAATATCAAAAGGCAGAAATAAATCATGCAATGTTCTTACAATCTTGTAATTCCTAGCTTGTAGGGATGCCCAATCAACATGCGTCGGGCGGAAAATTTAGTTGCTTAGAAAGAAAGAGTAAAAAGTGTATATTTTCCAACAAATTAAATTGCAGACAAGAATTATGTTGAGAGCATCAAAGCAAAATCTTTATTCACTCACAATGGAATATACGGGTGTCAAGAGCAAAAGTTAAGTAAGAGCAGTAGTCGCAATAGATTCTATTTTTTTCTCTGGGATAGCATTCGCCGCCTCTTGCTTCACAATGTCCACAATAGACGCCGTACCATCTAAGCTCAAACCCATATGCGAGCCCGTCATATAAGTCCGAAAAAGAATTGTTGACTCCCGTCAGGAGCCGTAAAATATTTGCTGTTGTCCAAACCAGATTGCTGATGCTGCAGGAGTCCTCCAGTTCTGAGATAACCATACCTCCGGCTACAACATAATTATGATTTTTCAATGGAGATGGTGAAGTAGAGTTGGAGGTGGAATTAGTGTTTCTTTTATCACAAAAGCCAGTGTCCACATATCCACTCCTAATTACAGGACTTTGGCAGCTTATGAATACAGCAACATCATAATAATATGAATCTGAAAAAAAAGGAGTGGCTCTCCGTGACGGATAGAATCTCAAAAAAGAACCACCTTGCGGAGAATAAAGTGGAAGAGAAGAGCAATTATCCTTGTCTAGACCGGGATCAACAAGTCGAATGGAGAAGTTGTCATAAGTGATTGCCTCCACGTAGAAGGAGTAGTTGTATTTGTAGTCGTACTCTGCATGAGGATGAGTTTTAAGGTATAGTATGGTGTGATTGTTGTTGCAGGCAAGTTGGTAGTCGCGAAGACCACAGTGCTGGGGATCGCCTTCCAGCCGGAAAGGGTAGTGTATGTCACGGATATTCCCGCAAGACGAAGTGCAGTTCTGATCATTCATTTGCTGGGCTTTGCAGCACCTACTTGTTACGCACAACACAATTGGTAGAAGAAATTTTTGGATTACAAGCAAGAAGACCCTCCTCCTCTTTCCTCCTGACACCATAACTAGAAACGCAAAGCTAAGGTGTACTTATCTCCAAATCTTCTTTAATTTGTGGCTCCATTCATCTGTTTTAGAGCCAGAAAGAGTGAAATACATACATCTTTGATGCCAAGATGATGTGATTCGTTGGATGATAGTGGGCCCTCCTTTCATCCAACGGCTTACAGTATGCTAATGGACACTTTTGGTGCACACAGACACATCATTTCGGAAAGGAAAATATTATATAATTCAAAAAAAATTCAAAAATTAAAATTCAAATATACGTCATTTTTTTTGAAAAGATTGATAAGATCTACTCATCCAACGGATAATATGTATTTGAATTATAATTTTTAAAATTTTATTTGAGTCTTATAGTATTATTTTTTTCGAAAAGATGACACCCACACCCCATCTTTAATAACTTCGCTTACTTTTTTGAAAAAGGTTATTTAAGCCTAATTTAATAATTTAATCAGAAAATCTAATTTAATATCGTCTTTAAGTTAAAAGTAAATTTTATTTAGCTCTACAACTCACAATTAATTGAATTATATCCTGACTAAATTTTCAAATTCAATTCCACGCTGGAATCTTTCTCAAAAAAAAAATAATATATATAAAACTGACCGGCTAAGTCAGTCATGGCTTCAAATGTCAAAGTCAAGTCTACGAAGAAAAGCAAGTAGATTAAAGTTTCACCCTAACCAACACGCTTAGATGAGTAAAGGTGCATTTACGACTTTTGATATAATTATAATTATCACTTGTTAGTTTTATATCATGAATTAATTAACACAAATAATATTTATTAAAAAATAAAAATTTAAAAATAAGAAAACAATAAAAATATGACACAAAGATATAACATACTCATCTTGATATACTATTCCTACATCTATGGATCAAGAATTTATATTATTCATTGAAATTTGATCATTGTATAATGTTCAACCCTATTTATAAGAAAAAAAAATATTGTAATCTAAACTTATTCAAATACAACTTAATTTTTATATTTCTTATCACATGTTTAATATACTTATTCAACTTTTCTAATTTGTTTCCTATTTGACTAGGTTACTAATAAACCTATCCATGATTTATTAGTACTTTTTTATTAATTGCCTAACAAACTCTCATATCTATAGGACTTTTATCGTATTAATAACTCATTGTTAGATATAGATACGTCATATATATAGGAATAAATAATAATGTCATTGCCTTAAATTGTTGATCTACTCCACAAGAGAAAATTCAAAATATCTCCAAGTCCTCGTTATTTTCAAGTATAAATTGTATTTTGCCAAAAAATAGGATATCCCATTCAATTTTTTGATGTACACTTATTGTGATTGTCTGAAAGATAGAAAAAATAAGCTTGGTAAGAGTTTGGTCAAAACTAATAAGATTAGATCTTTCATATATAGTTTTTCGTCGTACACTTGGAGTAAGGGTCTTAAAGAAGAAAAATTTGCTCAATAAAAGTTTCCTCGAAACTAACAAGGCTAGAGTTTTGTTGAAACTAATGATAAGACTAGATATTTCATATAGTTCTTTATCCTATACTTAATGTAGGGGGTCCCAAAGAAGAAAAATTTGTTCGACAAGAATTCCTCCTAGCCAAACTAAAAATTTCATATAATTTTTTGTCATACGCTAAATGTAGTGGTCCCACTAAAAGCAAGCATGCCCTATGGATAAATTTATTTAAGAACATTGATCCAACGACTTACATTATGCTAAGAGCAATTTCAAAGGGAGATGATATTTTGGGGTGTCAAATTATTTATTTGTAATTTTGAACAGTATTTTAACATTCTTGAATTATAAATTTGTTCCTATAATAGGTGCAAAAATGAGATGTATAAACTTAACTTTGATTACAACCTCTCTCCCTTTTTGCTATAATCTTACTAAACAAACACATAAATTTTTTCTGCAACATTTCCCTTTCTCTCTCTAGAGTTTGGAAAAATACCACCCCAAGAGCATTACTGCTATTTTCCAATTTTTGATGTCACTTTTGTTAGAGTGAAAAATTTTGAGTTTGAGATAATATTTTGATAATTACATGCAGTTATGAGATTGTCACATCTGATGCCACTCCCCTCTAATACATACTTTTGGTGCGCACAGACACAAAATTTTCAAAAGGATGACACCCCCATCTTTAGCAACTTGCCTTGCTCCTTTTCTGAGAAATATTATTTAAATTTAATTTATTAACTTAATTAAATAATTTAATATAATACAATTATTGTATTGAGGGTAAAGTCTCATTCAACTTTAAAACTCACAACAAATTCAACGAATATAGTGAACTATAATATTGATTGAGTTTCCAAATTAGACTCCTCATTAGTTTTTAAGTAGAAACCTATACAATTATTTTTTCGAAAACTGACCGATTAAATCAGTCATGGCTGCAAATGTTAAAGTATGTCTACGAAGAAAAGTTACGCCGTAACCAACACGGTTAGATGAGTAAAGGTGCATGTACTGACTTTTCTTTGTTATCAGATTTTGTCAGTCAAATTAATTGATATAATTATCAATATAATTGCATGTTAATGGGAATTAGTAATATCCATCAATCCAATTTTATTTATTTATTTTTTTTATATATTCACTGATGCAAAAAATATGATTAAAAAAATTATAATTGTGATTTTTGATCAATGACAGGGTACAGTCCCAACCATTAAATTAATGATTTATATTAATGTAATACCCAAAATTTGGATAAGTGTAAGTACTTGTAGCCATATATTATACAGATCTTTTCTAGGTGTCTTCCATGATGTGAGGCATTGCTTTTCGAGTCAAAGTCAGTCAACAAAGAAGAAACTTATTAAATCAAAATATAACAAATATGCTCTAATATTCTTTGTTTAGGGACCCCACCTAAAATGGGCCTGTCACTTGAAAAGTCAAATTTAGTTGCTGAACAAAAATAAAAAAAAAATAAATTAGATAAGACTTTAATTGTATCTGTAACATTGTTAGATATAGATAACTCATATAGGAACAAATAATAATGTCATTTAGAACTCATTATTTACCTTAAATTGTTGATCTACCCCATAAGAGAAAATTCAAAATACCTCCGAGTCCGCGTTATCTTTACGTATAGATTGTATTTTGTCAAAAAATAACATGAATAGATATCCCATACAATTTTTTGATGTACATTTATTGTGATTGTCTCAAAGAGAGAAAAAATAAGTCTAATAAGAGTTTTCTCAAAACTAATAAGATTAGATATTTCATATATAATTTTCTGTCATACACTTGTAGTAGGGGTCTCAAAGAAAAAAATTTTGCCCCATAAAAATTTTCTCGAAACTAAGAAGATTAGAGTTTATTTGAAACTAATAATAAACTAGATATTTCATATAGTACCAAAGAAAAAAAATTTGTTCGATAAGAGTTTCCTCGAAAAAAATAAAGCTAAAAATGTCATATAATTTTTTTTTAGCGTACACTAAATATAGAGGTCCCACCGAAAGTGGACATGTCTTATGGATAGATGATTGTTATATGCTGGACTATTAAGGCATTAAATACCGTAAAAGAATGATAACATTAATAGGGTTTTTTTTCAGGGCTACTAAATTTTGTAAATCGGACTTAATAAATTTTGAATTGTACCATTAAAAATTTTGTTTTGAAATTTGACCTTAATAAAGTATACCATCTATTAGAAGTTTTTTTTACCTTTTTTTTTTAATTGTTAGTGTAAGGTACTTTTTATAACCTTTTAAAGTATTTTTGTGCTTTTTAATTAATTTTTAAGTTGTAGTTGTATTGTATTTTTTGTTTCTTGCCCTTGCATGAGTTTGCTCTATTCTTCCAAGCTTAATCCTATGTTTAGTAGTACATATATCCATAGATATAACCATATTCTTTATATTCTAAGATGGATATAGCTCACTTTTCTATTACCACTTTCATTTAAATTAAATATCTATAAGGAAAGGAGAGGCCAAGCAGCGGTCCACACCTTGGGAGACTGTTTGGTATTTCTTTGGAAAATGGTCATCTATCGCATTCCCTTCTTCCTTCTTCTAGTAGTCTTCGCCGGAAATTGTGGTGCCGGCAAAGATTATGAGTGCAAGGTGACAAGATGCAGCGAATTCGGACCTGACATCCGGTTCCCCTTCCGGATAAAAGACCGTCAGCCAGCTCACTGTGGCTATGGCCCTGCCTTTGACCTCTCTTGCACACAAAACAATGATACTGTGTTTGATTATGACCTCCAATTTCCAGTGAGAGCATCGACCAAGAGAATTCTGCTTCCATTATCACTCAAGGTTTTGGTCACGGATATCCACTATGAATCTCAGTGGATGAGTATCAATGTCGTGAATGCAAGTTGTCTCCCACGGTGGCTTCCAATTCCAACCCTGTATAATAATAGTTCATCATCTGCCGGCTCTCCATTCAAGTTTAACCACGTCGATGATCCCGAATGTGGCTATATGCTCTTCAGTTGTCCCTCAAACAAAAATCTCTCACCATACAGTATAGTTCAGGTCACCTGCCTTAGTGGTCCTGGTCACCAAGTGTATGCCGTTCCTACATTTGGTTGGTACACGTACATCGATGAATCTGTACCGGACCTAACATCCTGCACCAAGATGTATAACATTTCATACGTTCCACAAAAAATACTTTTGGGGGATGAATCACACCCTACTCAATTTTATTCACGCCTTTCTGGTCTGGGATGGTCCACACCTTCTTGTGGATATTGTGAAGCAGAAAATAAGTACTGCCGATTGAAGAAAAACAGCAACCCCCAACCTCAAACTGAATGCGTCGACATTCCTATAACTCAACCCAACTCAGGTACTCCTAACTAGTTTTTCTGAGTATTCGTATTCAATCATGTCCCTTACAACATATATATCTCTTCTTTGAATTTAAAATTCTTGTGTCCTTTTCAGATGCATCCTCGCATTCGCATAGACAAGTTGTTGCAGGTGAATATATATGTTTACACTATTTTT